ATATTGTTGTCCCCATCCCTAAATTAGAGCCAGTTCACTGTTTTTGGGATGTCTCCAAAAAATCTTCCGTTTTGGTAGCTGTCCTCTTCCCAATTGACCTGAAGCCGGAAGTGCATGGTATGACATCGAGAGGCTGCCAAGTTCACTCTGGAACGGAGTTATGAACGGTGTTTGCCTCTCTCTAGTTGTAGTTAACTTTTCAGAGGTTACGGCGGTATGGCATGTCGATGGTGACCATCGCCTTGCTATTGAGTTTCCCAAGGTCGGTGATGCCGGTACTTGCAAGCCTACTTGATCGCAGCGGTTCTGTAACCTCACGCACCAAGTTATAGAGTGTAATTGTTGCTGCGGACTCTTGTCCGATATGCGCGACCACATAGCGTTATGCGGTTGCGCCTCTTGGACAAACCCGCGTCCGCCGCAGCGTCGAAACGAGAGTAACCGGCAATCACTGCCTCAGCGATATCGGCCAGATATCGCTGTATCAATAAATGCTGGTGACTCTCGTTCAGCCACATCGTCCGCGGCCGACGACGGCGAGACGTGGTTCACGATACCGACCGCCAGTCGCTGTGTCCAAAGCCGACATTGGGAAACTGCATAAATGGACTTGCTTTTTCCATACAAATCGTAGTATATTTTTTGGGACAATTAGTTGGGATATCCCAAAAGTGTGCAATTTTCGGGACAAAGTGGATGTCCCAACCCCAAATATGGTTTTCGGGACATCCGGTGGGGAAGCTTTTGTCCCATCTGATGTCCCGTTATCGAGTTGGGACTTATATTTGGGGATAATAGCATTTCCCCAATAGACTACTCATGGGTGCTGTCGCCTGTGTGGTGTAAGCTTAATTTAAGTGATGAGGTATTCAAATCCCATCAATTTACTACTCGGTGGAATTACCACGAATTACTACCAGAAATAGTGCAGCTTACACTACTTATTATACTGTAGTACTTACTACCTCTGTCCTGAAATGTTCGCTACAATCAGATATTGTAGCGAACATTTCAGAATTACCACCGGTAGACAGTGGTAACCTGCAAAATCGGACTTGAAAGCGGAAAACCGCGATGGAAATACCGGTACAGTACGGAAAATCGGACTAACCCAGTGAATGTGTGTTTGTTTTGTCTCCCGCTTCTTCGTCGCTTTCGGCCACGGGACCTTCGTCAAGGCAGCAAATATACACACTGATATTAGTGAGGTTAAACACTCCACGAGGCGTCTACTGACTACCATTCACTAAAGTACTCAGTACCTCCACTAAGGTATCAACACACACACGGAGTGTGTGTGTTTGCAATGGGTCAAACTAACGCGCGACCCAACTGCTCTGCACGCTTGAGAACACTTCCCTTCCTACGGAAAGTCCATTGTCTTGACGAGGGCGGCCACGGCAGAGTCTTCCTTGTTCGCCGCCGCCCACTGGCGAAATACGACTGGAATGTCGTCCAGCAAATTTGCCGCATGTTCCCAAGACGATTCTTCATCGTCCAATCCAAGCCACTTCACCAAAACTTGGTGTTGGCCATCCACGCAGCGCGCTTCGTCCAGGTGCTCCACATGAAATCCGCCATCGCCAAACGCGACCTGCGCCTCGAGGTCTTCGGTCACCTCTCTACCACCTTCGTGGTACATCTTCAGTAGGCACGCATGATGGACCGTGACTTCATACGGTGGCACCAGCTGCTGAGTCTCCATCACATGGTCTGTGATGACTCTGGTCACTTGGCAGGGTCCTCGCCAATGCAGGGCCAATTTTGTCGGACGGTTGACAACCGATCCGACAAGCACAAAATCGCCGACCGAAAAACCCGCAAACTTGACTTGGGTCTTTCGGTCGCGACGTCCACGCGCTTGCTGACGCAACTTGTCGCTTTGCACCGCCATGTTGCGGTGCGTTTCTTCTAGCGCCACTTGGAGGTCCGTCACATGTTTCTGACGGGCGGCGCCAAGCCAGTCCGCGACGTAAACTTCCTTGGACGTCGGGTGGATAAATCCTGCCAGCGGGGTCTTGGCTGGCCGGTAAACGCTGTCACAGGCGCAATTCCTCCCAGCCGGTCCGCCGGCTGATGGTTGAGGGCGCCTTGAACGAGGGGCAACACATGCGGCCATTCGTCGGCGTTGAGCTTCATTTCGCTGAGCAGCGCCTTCACGGCGCGCAGCACTTGTCGGTTGACTACTTCTCCAGTCCCGTTCGCCCAAGAACTGTAGACTGTCGTGATATGATGGTGGGCACCCACCAACTTCCGCACCTTCTCGATCACTTCGTTCTTGAAGTGAGAACCGCCATCTGACACCCATGTGTCAACGCAGCCGAACGTGGTAAACCACGTCATCAGACACTGAGCGGTCGCGGCGGCGTTAGCGGACTCTGCCGCGATCAGCTGCACAAAGCCACTCA